GCTCAAAAAAGGCTCGTGTCGATTTGTCGAAAGAAATGCTTAAAAAATACGATCGCGGTGCTTTGAAAGACGTCGTGACAGGTGGTGAATTGTGGATTAACGCGTATGAGCCCGAAAGTAAACAGCAGTCGACTGTATGAGTGTTTCAAGATGAGCAAAATCCAACAAAATTTGTTCGCGCACGAAGCACTTCCAAACAGATGTTCGCCTTTTTTTTCCAAAAAACTGGACATGTTGCAACCGAATCACTAGAACAACGCAGAACAGTCAATTCTGAGTGGTATACAATGATTTGTTTGCCAGCTGTTTCCCAAGAAATCAGGAAAACCAACCGCCGAATACGGATCACTCTTCACCACGACAATGCGAGCTCTCACACATCGGCTCAAACAACTGCATTTTTGAGCACCCAAAACATCGATTTGACGAGTCATCCACCGTATAGTCCTGACTTGACACCAAATGACTTCTTTTTATTCCCGTACGTAAAAAATAAACTGAGAGGTCAACGTTTTTCGACACCTGAAGAAGCGGTTGTTGTATTCAGAATGCATGTTTTGGAGTTACCTCAATCAGAGTGGCAAAAGTGCTTCGGCAATTGGTTCAAACGAATGCAAAAGTGTATAGATCTTCATGGAGGACATTTTGAAAAAGAATAAAGTGATTTTCGATGATTAATATTTTTTTGTTCTCTAATCCTGAAATATAAAAGGCAATCCTCGTATAGGGGCGAGTCACATGAACTCTCACGTCATTTCTCCCCCTCCCCCCGCACGCTGCATAGAAAGATGTCTTTGGCGTTGTCTTTGCAAGCGGCCCATCTCTTCTGGGAAATCCAGCCCTTTGTTCGGGCGGCTATTTTTAGAACCCTAAACCCTATACCTTGGGCGTAGTGCTGCTGCAAGCAGTGACGCTACAATATGTTTTGTTGTTTTTTTTCACGCGAACAGGCCGACTAGAACCACGCATGCATGCTCCCTGCATTTACCGTGGCTCAGTATCATTATCGCGATGGCAGGTGCATGCAACTTTTAATTGGGGACCAGCATTTAGCTGAATCCGATTTTTTATCCCCCAGGGTTTTTAGCCCTGGGGGTATGGACGATGAAATGATAATAATGAGGGGTGAAAGGACGACACACGCTTTGTACTCTTCTTCTCTGTCACATCTTGCGTGTGTACATCACTTTCTGGATTTGGAGGGAAAATGAACGTGGAGCCTGGAAAAGTTAATCGGGCTTGCAGGAGTGCCTCGCTTCCGGCGGGCAAGTAGCGGTGGTAGCTTGTGCGGGCATTTTGACATGCCTACTTGAAAGTATCCGAAATGTTTGTAGGTAGCATTTACTGTTACACATTAATTATTAATTCAATAACGGAAACATCCACGTTTTCTTGCGTGATTTTGTTTAGTAATTTCTTTAATTTCTGTTCTTAGAAATTGATCTATAAGTGTCTTAGTACTTGAAAAATGAAGTGACGTTTATTTTTTCGATGTATTACTTTCAATTTTAACACATTACAAAATTACCCCCACTGTCCTCAATCTCGTCCAAATTCAATAAATAAATAAACTTAGGTCTCCATTGGTTTGAGCTTTTCCTTGCAAAATGTACCGTCAGAAAATCTCTACAGCTCACCGAAAGAGAACACCACCAAGAGGCATCTGTTTATTTTCAGCTTCATCGACCTCGGTCGCTGTTAATCACCAGCCAACAAATCTTGCGCGAAATTAAGCATCTTCTGTTGGTATTTGCAGAAACATTCTCGGCGGGCGAGAAAAAATCGTGGCCAGTGGTTCAGATTGAGATATTGGACAAGGTCGAAGCGGCGTGACGTCGCCGAATGAGAGGAGATGGCGCGTAGGCGCTGCCATCTCCCAACAGTTGAGGTACCGCGTGAGGAAAAATATTTGCTACCGAGCCGGTCCGGTCCCAGTAGTTTAGTACAATGCCTCCTCAAAGGGGCGAATTGAGAAATAATTTGTGAGGAGGAGGGAGGGGAGATGTAAGTTCCAATTTACCGCCATAGTTTCCATTGGATCCGCCATAGTTTCCTAAGCCCAAGGTAAATCCTGGGTGCCATGTAAAAGAATCCTGGTGAAATGTCCGGCAAACTTAAATCCTCCGACCACTCCTGTCCTATTCAGATATCAGATACCATGTTTGTTCAGTCTGAACTAAGAATCGGTACTAGAGAACAGCAGGTTTCGATTCTTCCCTTATCGACTGGTAAGGATACGTGCGTATTTAGATTCCATTTTCAGTTTCTAATAGTCAAGTATTTTATGTACAGAATGTACTGAATTGTGTACAGAGGATAGTTTTATTCACGAGGGGAATGAATACTCGTGTACGCGACATCGTAGAGACCTAAGTTCTCGAAGTGATATAGCTTTTAATAAAGATTTTTTTAAATTCGATTTGTTCATAATATTTTGTATCTTTACTCACGTTTTGGAATTTTGTGTTTTTTGGGGGGGGGTAATTTTGGGAGAAAATAGTGTTTATTAGATTAAGTACCAGGACTACCCCTTGCAATACATTGGACAGAAACGAAATAAAACTAAAAAAAACACATACCTATTACAGAACACCAAAACATCATGGAATATCCTAATAGACAAAGCACAAAACTTCTTTTAGGTATTGGAGTCTCATTTAGATATTTATGCACGGTACAACTAAATATCTGCCATCTACCATCATGATTTGGATAAATACGCAAGATTTTTTTAAAATTTGGAAGCAAGGACATTATATGTAAAAACTTTAAACTTTGAATCCTATGCATTACAATACTTATTTTTTTATTACGTAAGGCGAGAAAGTAAAAATAATGTGTCCATAGAATCGTTTTTGGAAACTAGCAGGAGAAATTCTAATATTTGGACTCCCATTTCTTTTCTTGTATAAACTCTTTTTGAAGGAATGAATGGCATCATTGACTACTTTGATTTTTCTTGCCTTAGTACGTATTTGCGTGGTGAAGAGAAAATATTATCTTATTGCGGTGGAAATCGGCGACTTTTCTACAGCAAAACTTTATCTGTTGAAGTTAATGTAATTTATATTTTTTTCTCAAAAACAGCTCCAAAGTTTTTCCGTAAATTTTTCCCTCGGTTGTATTAAAAAATTGTGCTAGTCTCATTTTCGGCGATATCTCTGAATGTTTGAAAATTGCAAAAGTTAGAGATGATGCGAGAAAGTTTGTGCAATCGAGCACCTCTGATTTTTATGTTGATAATTTAAATTACTATTTTCTTATATTGTTTCACAAAATTTACTTCTTGAGCATAGAAATATAATATGCCAATCAATATAGCTATTGCTCCACTTTAAAGATAGAAAGTGCTTAAATGAAAGGTGAGGATGGCTGTGTATCGAGTATTCGACTGAGAATGTCAAATTTCACATCCAATTTATGGACCTGTACCTTCCTTACACGCTAGAGGTTAGATGGATTGTATAATAACACTGTCAAAATGAACCGCATCCAAAAGTTTCGCAAGAAACTCGTTCACGTTAACAACACCGAATCATTGATGTATTGAGACTCGTGAACACGACTGTGATTTAAACGTCAGTGTTTACTGTCGTACGTGTGTTTTGTGATAGCCTTTACACATATGAAATGAATTTATGATGCTATTCAAGACTTTGTATTTTACAAGAGCAGATGAACCTATAACAGTGAAAAAACGGGTTTTCGGAGAATGGTTTTAACAAGCATTATAAAATCGAGATTTGACAGGCGAAATTGATAAGAGACAGCAATACCAAGAAGATGTTTTTTTGGAACTTTCATTCCAAATACTGTGATATCTTTTCTACTGGACCAACTTTGCAAAAAAGAGTGTCAGAGTTGCTTCCATGATCATGTGTCTTCAAACAGTTACATTCTTCTTTCCTCACTGAATGACTTGAGTCCTAGGTGCAGAAAATTGTCTTCCAAAGCTATATCATGGATTCGAAGTAGGGAATTAAAAATGTAAGTAAATTTAAGAGATCATGAATGAGAGAGTGGGCTTCCAAGTTTCATTCAATCGGACACCTAATACAGTAGCATATCTTATTATCGAAGGTATGTTCGCATGCTTTATTGAACTTCTCCAGATGCAGTTTAATGAGCGTGTTGTATAATTTTTGAAGTTCATGGGCCTAGTCAAGGTATGATATGAAGTTTGAATCTCAAATGTTTGTTGCCGCCTAGTTCTAGTAGTTGATAACTTAAGGACATATTTTGAATTTGTTGTAAACTATTGTCTCGAATGAAGCTGTGATTTTCCTTGTATACATTTTTTAACTAATGTAATGAACTTATAAGAATTCTTGGAATTTAATGAGTAATGTAAAAGATATTTTTTTAAGGGTATGCAATGAAGAAAACAATTTTTCTGAAGGATATTTATTTTAGTAAAAATAGCTATTCTTCCACAATTGTGTATTCGCAGCCGATTGATTGACTGTCACACATGAAAAATAATTTTAAATATTCTTGATTATTTAAGTATTTATATTTCTTTTTGAGACTTTTCATTTTGCTATCTTGACCCTGAATTGTCTTGATCGAGGGAATCTTCCATTGCATGTTGTAAACCTGAAGGTATTTGGTATTACCTAGAATGGTATTAAAAACATGTTTGCCTTTTTATTAATTGTATTTTATATTTTGCTATTGCATATGACTTTGAGTAATGTATGGGAATACAGATGATATACATGTTCCAACTTATTGTTTTGTATTAATAATTTATTTTATTTTGAAAATTCTATTCCTAGCATTCTGTTATTAATGCAAGTTTTAGAATGGTTTTGAAAGAGAGAAATTTCACAGAACAAGATTGCCATTTATATATTATAACTTTGGTGTCTAAAATGCCAAATCTTTTCTGTCACATGGTTAAAAAAATTATTTTGATACTATTAACAGTTATAATTATAACATATTGCATTCATCCTGGCCGGTTTGCTCATTATTACACGTTTATTAAAGAAGAAGACATGGTTCATGAATTGGAAGAGTCCCCATTAGCACAGAAATTATCGGAAACTAGTGGTTTACCACTATGCCCTTGGCATATATTAAATGAATCAAGTTATTCTCTTCTTTATCCAAAGAAAAACGTAACCCAATGTGACCTGAATGAATTGAGTGTAAAATTGGACATAAAATTGGGAGGAACATGGAAGCCATCGAACTGTGTGTCTCGTTTTGATGTGGCAATTGTGGTACCGTACCGAAATAGACAAACACAACTTGAAATATTTCTTTTGTACATGCACTCATTTCTTCAAAAGCAAATGATAAATTATCGCATTCTTATTATTGAACAGGTAGAAAAAAAAGATTTCAATCGAGCAAAACTTCTTAATATTGGATATATTGAAGCACTGAAGTTATTTCCATATCACTGTTTTATTTTTCATGATGTAGATCTTATACCACAGAAGCAAAACAATATATATGCATGTACACGTCAACCTCGGCATATGTCTTCAAGTTTGAATACTTTCAGATATAATTTGCCATACCGTGGTTTATTTGGTGGTGCTGTTGCCATTTTAAAAAGTCAGTTTGAACTAGTAAATGGATTTTCCAATATGTTCTTTGGGTGGGGTGGTGAAGATGATGATTTTCAAAGTCGCATTAACCATAAAGGGTTATCCATTTGTCGTTTTTCTCCCAGGGTATCACGGTATGTAATGTTAACTCACTCTAAAGAATTGCCCAGTGAAACTCGATTTTCTAATTTACTGGCAGGTAAGAATCGATATGATGTGGATGGTATCAATACACTTGTGTACACAGTTCGTAATAGTACTTTCAAACCATTATACACATGGATTTTAGTTGATATATGAAATAACTGTTGACTGATTTTAACAATTTTTCTTAATGTCATAACTCGTAATTTATGCTTTGAACAGCCTTTGAAAATTCCTAATAATTTGTGCAATATTGTCAAATTTTTTATCAAGAAAATGTATTGTTGATTATATTTGATTATAGAATATGGTGCCAAGTGCAAGTTCATACAAAATCATCACAAATGCAATAACATAATATTCTTGTCAAAAATTAATGTTAATCATAAGTATTAAAGTTTGTTGGTTTTGACATGAAAAAACATGGCATTTGCAATATAATCTTTTTGTACTTTGTATATTACTCAGTCACCAGTGAGTTGTGGGAAAGATAAAAATTTTAAGTTAAGATTACATATAAAAAAATATAAGGGTCCATCTCAATTTATTCACATCAGAAGAAAGTTTGGCCACAGAGTTTTCTTGACAGATTGAGTCACTTCAAAATTTAGAAATAAAATCTTAGAATTATACAATTTAAAGGGTTTATTTTTCTTTAACCAAGTTTTATTACAACATTTTAGATAATTATGTATTTTCCTCATTTTCAGGCATTAAAAAAAAAGAAGATAATTAATATATTAAAATAAATATGAACGCCATGCAGTGTAGAATCACTTCCATCATCACACTTGCATAATGGGCTTTTTATGAAGGGTAGTGAAGTGACTCAGTCATGCCAACTCTGTGGTAAAATTATATTTCAATGTGATTTAAGTTAATATCCGTTTGTAACATTTTCTAAAGGTTAAGATATTTGGAAGTACTGAACAAAGTAAAAGACAATCTTGAAATATTTAATCATGACCAACATTTTTGAAATAATACAATTTGCTTGTGTGACTATGTTGATGAAATGTGCAGAATGTTATTTTATCATGATCTCCATTTCCTAAAATTAATGTTCTTGTTGCAGTTTCCAATGCAGTATTATGAATTTCAGGTAACATTTGGGTTAATAATGAAAAGTTAAATTTCACCTCCCAAATTGTGAGTTTTGTGTTTGGAAGAAATACATTAATCTGAAATTGTTACCTTGCCAATTAGTTTCTGGAAATGTTAAGAGATTAATAAGATATACAATCAATACGTGCTTTATATGTAAAGATCTATGTTCAAAGACTGCCTTATGTAAAACTACGTACAACTTCATGTTTGTGAAAAACTACTTATTTTTGCTGCTAGGGTGAAATAATAGCTATTGTAATAAAAAAAAGATTGTGTTCACTGGATGCTAATATCATGACGTAAATGCAATGCAGTAACTACATAAGTTGTTGAACAATTTTGTATGAAAAATCATATAGTTTAATGAATATTTAGAAATTTATACATTCTCAATTTAAATACTAGCTATAAAATGTGTATGTAAGTATTTGTCATTCGTATTTCAATTAACTAATTACTTTACATACAAGATTTGCCGTTATTGATATTGTATGAATATTTATGAATTTAAGGGTTGAATGCAATAGGATGTTTCAAGTGATTATTAATACTTGAAATTCATTAAGAATTCATATTAGACTATTGTATTTCTATTAATAATTATTAATATATTTTGTTTTATAAATGTTAATTACACATATATACTTAGTGGCCTTTCTTGAGGTAAGAATTGCTATTTGTCAGAATCTAGCATTTCTCTCCTCATGCCAGATTTGATATATTTATGTGCTTACCATAGTTCCAACAATTCTTAAAACATCTTAATTATATTGATGTGCTTCTAGAAATGGAGTTTCAGTAGTTCTTGGAACAAGACTGATTGTAAATTGTTATTTTTGTCTACATGTCTTTTATATGTTTTTTTTATTTGTTACCAGTTTACAAAGCAGTTATAGAATACATAACTAAATCTTTATCGTAATGCTTCCAAAATTGATTGATGACATGGCATGACACGTTTTGAGTGGGGGGGGAAGAAAAGTATGTGTTTGTGATTCAAAAGAGAAGAAATAGAATTCTGTAATATAAGAATTTGTAAATTCTTTAAATTTGTAATTGTTGGGTATAAAAAATTAAATAAGCATATTCTCTGCTAATCATTGCTGACAATTAACATCAAGTCTGTCAGTTTAAAATCACAGAGGAAGATAAACAGAATATCATTTGGAAGCGTTTGTGTACCTGAATATTTTATCTGATATGATGATGTTTTGGTACACATTTTGTTCATTGGTAGATGTTTGTGGTTGAAAAGTAGTGTTAATAGGGTTTGTTACAGTGGTAATTATGTATATAACAGTGTAACAAGTGAAGTTCTGAAATTGTTTTAAATCAAGACACTTTTGATTTTGTGAGTAAATATAAATTTGCTGTAAATGACATAATTCAGTTTAGTAGTAATTCAGTTCATCATACAAAGTGATTATGTTCAATGTTTGTAATTTTCTTATAATAGTTTTAAACAACTTCCCTGAATTTCAAATATAAATTATGATCTCTTGGATATGTCATACGATTTATTTGTAAAATTCTCTCAAATATTGCAGCAAATCGCAAGTCTATTGGTATTGAGGTGGGCATTATGTACTTATGACACATTATGCAAAAATGTGTGTGTGTGTTTCAAAGTGTGTATGGAAATTTTGTTATTGATTTATGTTCAGTATTTTATTTGTCTAGTTTTCATTTTCTGAAGTGCATTAGGATAACATGTAACTATTAAAATGATATGAAATATTTTTACTATAATTAGCCTTTTGATTAATTGCCAGTATTGTCCAGAACATACACTAACGAATGATATACAAACTAAAATGGGCATACATTTATGGCCTCTGTGGTGATGTATACCTTATTTCAAATGGTTACAGGTAAATTATTGATTGTTTTTCAAGTTGTAATTAATTATTTGTTGATATCTTTTGCTTTCTCATTCCTCCATTTATCCTCCATGAATGTAAGTTCCATATTTTCCCCATAATATCAAGCATTACTTACCAAAACAAAATGTTTATATTAAAACAATCAAAATATTGAGTACCATGATGTAAAATGTTTGAAATTGGTTATCAGAAATGTAAACAATTGTGTAAGAAGAAACATTTTAATTTTGATTTCCCAATATAGTAAAAGATTTTATGACTGATTCCAAAAATATTTCGATAAAAGTTGTCCATAAACATAGTGTGATGTATAATTGTAATTATAGTGATGGCAACAGAAAGGTGATGGTAAGGCTGAGTAATTTAAGAAATATCAATCCACTACTTGAAAGAAGTCTTTGGGGTTTATTGTTGGACTTCTAAATTTTATCTCTAAGAACATGTTTGCAGAGATGGATTGCAGTTGCATTATTGTATTACATTCATGTATACTACATTCATGTATAGTCTATGTGCCTATGTACCATAAAGTGGATTATTGTTAATATGCTGTTATTGTAAATTGAATTATTAGTACAAATCTGTGATAATGGAGAATATTTTGTGTAATAATATTCTTTTTGAACATTCTGAAATATCCTTTTTGCTAATTTTATTTTAGAATCTGTTAGTAAATTAATGTTAGTGCAAGCAATTGTATTGACTGTTAAATAAAGCTTTATCAATACAGAACATAATATAAAGCAGATGTGCATTGTCTTTGGGCTTTATTTGCCTTCACATCAAATTTTAATTATATTAACGAGTTTAATTTTATTTTGTATGCGATGAGTCAAATCAGGTAACTAAATTATTAAAGCTGTAAAAACATTTTTTCAAGATTTTTTTAAAAAAAAACTTTAGCATTTACATTATCAGACCTGAATTTTTATTGTTTTTAAAAAAAGGTGGCACATATATTAATTATTAAAAATTAACAAATTGCAGGATTATATGCCAAGTATATGAAGTTAAATATTATTGTAGAACATGAGAAATTATAATTCTCATACTTAAGTATCGCGTTGTCTTGAAAATTCGAAAATCAAAAAAATAACTTTAAGTAAAAATAACTTAGAAAAATCATTAAAAATACCCCTGAATTTTTTTACGGTTTTGCAGGCAAACTACTCTTGATTTTAAGACCAAAAACGTAAAAATCGATTAATTACTTTTTTGAAGTTTTACTATTTTAAGAATAAAAAAAATAGTTTGTTAGATTTATTCTTACGTAGCAAGACTCGCGTCGTCAGGCCCGCCCTTCCGACTGCACACGCAAATTTCGCTACGTTCCTTTCACCATCTAGCGGAGAGATAAGGTATTACTCGGGCGACGACACAGACGATTTTGAATAAGCTCAGAGACATCTCTTAGGTCGGCAGATGTGTTGCGAGAAATGAGGAAATAGGCCGATGACGCTGCGCTCGCACTAGATATGTGTCATTCGGTGACTCGAAATACTTTTGTGTACCACAAGCCGTGATTGGTGACAGCAGTTAGCTAAATGAGATTAGCTGGAGTCCCATTTCTTGTTTTATTAAATGCTCTTTGCAATTTTTACCCCTGAAATCCTTGTTTAATTACCATAATCGTAAATCATGTACATAAATTCGAGTTGCCTAAAAATATATTACTGCACTCCATATAAATAATTCTTTATTTACGCCAGAAACAGTTAAAAACGTTGTGTGACGTGCTACGGGGAGAAGTTAATTCAAAGTTACATTTATGTCCAGAAGCTAAACAAGGGGCCATCTCAGCATTTGTTAAAGGATCAGGGAAAGTGGACGAAAACCTGACCTAGATGGGGCGTCATTGACCCAAAAGTTGAAGTACAATACTAATTAAAGGTTCGTTAGAATTATGTAATGTAAAAAACTGAATGTGACGACGAAATTTTCTCTTGTCCCGAACTTTGTACCTCATCTGTTTTATTGTATTTGTTGGTTGAATTATGAATAAATGTTGAATGATAAAATAATCCATAATGCAATTAATAATTAATAAATTCATTTATAAATAAATGAGAATTAAAAAATAAAATATTAATTCATTTCCTTCTATATACCCTTTCAAGTTTCTTGCTTCAAATCTTTATATAGCTCATGTACCGCTTTCTTTCACGA